ACTGACCTAAATACAAGTCTAGGTTTAAACATGGGCAGAAGAGCTAAATTCCACTGGAAATTTCACTTCTGCAGGGAAGTGAGAGTGACTGCCTTTAATATCGGGGTCACGTTTGACCAAATGTGGCATCAAGGAGTCCCAGCAAAACTAGAGTCAATGAGAACCTGGGGTGAAAACTCTCTGCTGATTTGAATCAAGTCTAGCACAAAGGAATACAGTTGTCATTGTTGGAGGCCAGACATCTCAACTCGAGGGCATCTCTGTTAGAGTTCCTCAGGGTAGTGCCTTAGGTCCAACCGTCATCAGCTCCTTCATCTGACCTTCTTTCTAATATAAAGTCAGAAGCAGGCATGTTCATTGATGACTGCACAATGTTCAGCACTATTTGGAAGTCATCTGATACTGAAGCAGTCCGTATCTAAATGCAGCAAGATCTAGACAATACCCACACTTGGGGTGATAGTTGGCATGTTGTATTTATGCCACATAGTGCCAGGCACCAGCCATCTCCACCAAGTGAGAGTCTTAACATCACCCCTTGATGTTCAGTGATGTTACCATCACTGAATGCCCTGTTGTCAACATCTTGGGGGTCACCATTGACCAGAAACTGACTGAAGTACACATATAAAAACTGTAGCTACAAATTCACATCAAAGTCTCGGAATCCTGCAGCCAGGTAACTCTTCTCTGCAGAAGAGGTTCACCAGGATGTTGCCTGGTATGGAGGGTGCTAGCTATGAAGAGAGGTTGAGTAGATTAGGATTATTTACATTAGAAAGACGGAGGTTGAGGGGTGACCTGACTGAGGTCTACAAAATCATGTGAGGTATAGACAGGGTGGATAGCAAGAAGCTTTTTCCCAGAGTGGGGGACTCAATTACTATGGGTCACAATTTCAAGGTGAGCGGGGAAAAATTTAAGGGAGATGTGCGTGGAAAGTTCTTTACGCAGAGGGTGGTGGGTGCCTGGAACGTGTTGCCAGTGGAGGTGGTAGAGGCAGGCACGATAACATCTAGACAGATACATGAATGGGCAGGGAGCAGAAGGATACAGATCCTTGGAAAATAGGCGACAGGTTTAGATAGAGGATCTGGATCGGCGCAGGCTTAGGGGGCCGAAGGGCCTGTTCCTGTGCTGTAATTTTCTTTGTTCTTTGTTCCTCCTGACTCCCCAAAGCTTGTCCATTATCTACAAGGCTGTGCGTCCTAGCTACAAGGTGCGCTGCATTTTTTTCATGTCACAAATAATTGAAGGTGATCTCTTCTTCAGTCAGCAACGTTTTTCTTGTGCCTCTTTACTGCTGTGATATTAGTCATGCATTATACTGTACTGACCATGACGGGCACTGTTTTCAATGGGCATTAGCTCAACTTTCTCCACTTTGATACTTAGAAATAAAACCAGTCTACATAATGATGATGAAAGAACCCTGGAAACAGATGGCATTGGTAGGAACGAAAATAGAAATTGCTGGAGAAGCTCAGCAGGTCTGGCATCATTTGTGGAGAGAAATCAGAGTTAATGTTTTGGGTTCAGTGACCCTTCCTCAGAACACATTTGCTTTGATGGGAGGCCATTTATTCCATGCTGTTTGTGCTGACAAACAAAATTTATCCAATTTAACCTCAGATTCCTCAGTCTATAATCTTGTAGGTTATGGTACTTTAAGTGCATATCTAAGTATATTTTAAATGTGATTTTCATAACCCACTCAATGAAATAATCTTTCCTTATCTACCCTCTGATTTCCTGACCAATTATTTTAAAACCATCTTGCCTGTAATCACCTCTTTGCTCTGGGAAATAGATCTTTCCCAGCTACTGTTTCCCAACTTGTCATAATCTTACACACCTCAGTTGAAGCTCTGTCAACTTCATCTATTTTAAAACAATACTGTTTTACTCATCTTTTTTCCTTATAACCAAATTCTGCAGTCCTGTCAACATCCTTCTGTCATCTCTCCAATGTGATTACGTCTTCTTGTCAGTGACTAGGACTGTATCAAATGGCTTGTACAACTGTTTATACAGTTCTAAAATAATTCCCCGTGTCTTATGTCTACACTAATAAAGGAAAGTATGTTATTTATGTCGCGTCTACTTCAGGGATGTGTAACAGGCACTCCAAAGTTCTTCTAAACTTCTCAGTATCCTAGACTTTTTGTTGCATTTCCCTTGCCTTGTTTGTTGTTCCCAAATTAATTAGCTCACATTCTCTATTTTGAATCCTAGTTGCAATTTTTCTGTCCACCTGATGGGTCCATTCATGGGTTCTGAAGTCCTCAGCTTCCTTCATCACAATCAACCTGCACCCAATTGTTATATAATCTGCAAACGTTTTGATCATGCTATCTACATTTAGCATCCAAATCAATGCATTATACCATGAAAAGCGGAGCACCAAGCACTGAGACCTGCAAAAACTCACATAAATCATCCAATCATTAAAAGCAAAACCAATTCTGGATCAAATTTACTCACTTTTCCTTGAAGTCTAAGGCTGGAATCTCGCTAACTGACCACCGAGCCTTTGTCAAAAGCCTTGTTAAAATCCTTATCTCTGTACCAGTAGTGTCAACGTCAAGTAAGGCAATATTTCTTGAAATCTTCTCCATTGTTCTGATGGAGCTTGGGCAGGTGAACTTAAGTAAATTGAGCTTGCAGGAGATTAAAGTTGTGGAGTTTGAATGGCAAAGCTAGTAAGGTAGGAATTAGGTAATGCTATGGATATGAAATTATGCAGTTTTCGTTTACGATGTGAGAGTTGAAGTTCAGACCTATACACAATACCATTAAGTTTAGCCTGATTACAGAATCACAGCAGTGTTAGACCAGAAATGGATTGACACCAAAACTTGATTGGCACTACATCCACATGTATCCATTCCCACCACCACTGATGCTCAGTAGCAGCAGTGTGTACCATCTACAATATGCACTGTAGAAATTCACCAAAGATCCTTAGCACCTTCCAAACCCATGACCACTCCCATCTAAAAGGACAAGGCTAGCAGATATATGGGAACATTACCATGTGCAAGTTCCCCTCCAAAGTGACTCACCATCCTGACTTGGAAATATATTGTCGTTCCTTCACTGTCACTGGGTCGAAATCCTGGCATTCCCTCCCTGAGGCATTGTGGATCAATTTACAGCACGTGGACTGCAGTGGTTCAAGAAGATAGATCACCACCACTTTCTCAAGGGCAACTAAGGATGGGCAATAAATGCTAACTTAGCCAGTGTCCCTCAAGTAAATAAAAAAAGACTTTCCTGACTAGTCTGTTGTGTCATACTGTATGAAACACTTCCTGGGAATTCATGTATACCACATCAATGTTTTACTGTCATTGAGTCTTTCTGATTAAGCAGCCATCAAGGAATAAAGCTTGGAATGTAGGTTAAAAAGTGTCACTAAGTCCAACAATAAACATTTAAAACTTTGTTTTCACAGTATTTACTTTGTGGACAAAATGTTGTCTTGTCTGAAATCTACATTTTGAATGAGACAGTAACAAATCTTCAGGGTTTACTGGTGTATTATTGTGAGTGTACAGTTTAGCACAGATACTGGTTTACACCTTTCCGTTCATTTCCCAGCATTTATTGCCCATCCCTTATTGCCCAGAGGGCAGTTAAGAGTCAAAACCACTGCCATGGATCATCAGTCAGAACCAGAATTTCTTTTCTAAAGGACGTTACTGTCTTGGACAATTTTATGACCATTACCAGTGGTTACACAGTTGCCATTATGTTTGCTTTCAATTCTCAATTCCACTGAATTCAGACCTCTTCTTCTGGAATGTGGGATTTGAACCCATACCCGAGAACTACAAGCCTAGAGGCAGATTCTATTGCTCTCCTGTGAAGTGAGTTTGAGGGCAAAGTGTGCAGGAGGATGTCAGATGCAAATTCTGCCATCTTCCTGTCTCTGTCTCAATTAGGTTCAAGCCCAGGACAAAAAAAAACATTTTCACTCAATCAGTGGTTACGATATAGAATGCATTAGCTGGAAACGCAGTGGTGGCAGGTTCATTAAGGCATTTGAGCGGGTATTGGATTATTATTTGGATGGAAATAATGTGCAAGTGTATGGGGGAGAAGAAGCAGGAGATTGGCATCAGGTAATGATGCCCATTTGAAGCACCGGTGTAGGGGCAGTGGGTCAAATGGCCTCCTTCTGGACTGTAAACAATTCTCCAATTCTGTTCTATGTATTGACAGTTTTTGCATCTTGCCACTAACTGAGGTGCTGAAGTGAGCAATTCATGCCTATTTAAAAGCTGCTTCTTGCATAATTGGTGTTCAGTTAGAAATGGGTGGAGCCGTTCCCATACAGAATACCCGAAAAATAAACCCTTGTGGTCTGTGAACAGGTCTTGGGGAGGGTCCTCGTTGCCAGCTGTTGAAACAGGGGTCTGGTCTTTCTGCCAACTCCCCTTCACCATCTTAGCCAGTGACTCCTTCATCATTCCCATTACCCCAATAGCACCCTCACTAACCTGCAAGCTGGATCCTTCACTGAGCCTTGGTCTCTGGGGTGTTGATGGCAACTGCCACCCATCTACGATTGGTGCCGACAGGAATGAGGAACAACCAGCCTCTGACTGAGTGGCAGCAATAATGGTGTTGGGATTTCTGCCCTTGGGTCCTTGATCCTGTAAATGACCCACTAAAGGCCACCGAATTGACTGACAGGTACATCATCCTCTGAGGACGTGACACGGAGCCTTCCCAGTTTTCCAGCCAGTAGGCAATCCCCAACACCTGGATTAAACTCTTCCCTCCACTTGGATTAACAAATAATGACCGTGACAGATCTCCAGTAATTTTTTGAGCAAATTTGTAATCATGTTAAAATTTGATCTGTTTTAATATTAATTTGCTTACAGGACAATATTGTTGGTTCTTTAATTTATTTGTACTTGGGCAACTTTTTTTGTAGCGCTAAAATTTATCAGTATATTAATATTCTCTTTGATTTGTCTGCGTTTCAGCTTACTGCATCTGATGCCGATGAAGAGAAGAATGGACAAATTATTTATGAAATTGTGACTGGTGATGATGGTGACTTTGTAATAAGTAACAGCAGTGGATTGATTACCATTGCTCCTGGAGTTAGTTTAAATGTTGGTCGGATTTATGCCCTTACTGTCAAAGCAACAGATAATGCCAGGCTGGCTGAAAGGAGGTATGTGTTACAAAAATAAATTACATGTAATGTAAGAACAGAAGGAGTGGTAGCAGGAGAAAGCCACATACTCCCTTGAGCATGTTGCACCAAATTGAATGATCATATCTGACTTGATCTTGACCTGGACTCCAATTTTCTCTCTGTTCCCCATCCCCCTTAACATCCCTAACGTTCAAAAATGTGTTCACATGCCTTGAATACATTCAATTACTTAATCCTCACAGCTCTTCTTAAGAATATTCCATAGACCCAGAATGCTCTGAAAGAAGACTTTTCTCTTCACCTGTCTTAAATAAGTGACCCTTTGTTCTCAAACAGTCACCCCACCGCCCTTGTTAAATTTTGCTTGAAACATCCTCTAAGCATCCACCTTGCAAACCTCTTCAGAACCAATAAGATTGTCTGTGACTCTGCTAAACCCCAATGTATATAGGCTCAACCTGTTCCTCATAAGATGACCTCTTCAGGAATCAATCTAGTGAGGCTTCTCTGAAGTACTTTCAGTGCATCTGTATCCTCTTTAAATAAGAAGACCAAAAACTGTAGACAGTAGCCATGAGACAGTAATACCTTGTACACTTCCAGCAAGACTTTCTACATTGATATGTCACAACTGACAATAAATGTTGACCGTCAATTTGCCTTCCTAATTATTTGCAGTATCTGCATCCAATTTACTGTGATTCATATATGAGGATATCCAGATCCTTCTATGTCACAAGCTCCTTGAGTCTCTTTGAATTTAAACAATGTTTTAATGTTTTGTTCTGTGAAAATGGATTATTCTCACATGTTCTCTCATTATGTTCCATCTGCCACACTTTTTATCCTTAACTTATCCATATTCTATGGCAGACATTTTTTTATCCTGCTTTTGACTTGTTTCCCACATTTATGTGTTTTATTAGAAAGTTTGACAAAATTATACTTTGTCCTTTCATTCAAAACATGTATTGTAAATAAGGTCAGGAGTCACACAACACCAGGTTATAGTCCAACAGGTTTATTTGAAATCACAAGCTTTCGAAGTGCTGCTCCTTTATCAGGTGAAATAAATAGTAAACTTTTACACTGTATATTATAAGTAGTTGAAGCTCCAGCACTGATTCGTGTCATCACTGTGGTTCAGTATACAAATTCCAAAATGACTCATCTGTTTCAAGCCTTCCACAACCTTCAGGACATTTGTTTATCTTTTATTTCAATTTCGTACCATCCTTAATTTCCTTGGTTGGCCACAAATAATTCATCCTTCTTATAGAGTCTTTCTTTCTCAATGAAGTTTTTCATTAATAAAAGTTGTGAAATATCGCGTTAACTGTATGGATGATATTGATCTTTATTATAAGTAACTGATGTTACTTGCTGCAGAATAGCTTAATCTTTGACCTCTGTTGACATAATGTTGTGAAAATTCCCCCTCAGTAGCCATCCCACATGGAACGTCACTGTTTACAATGCACTTCTGGATGCCTTCTGCAGTAATAGTTTAGTGTGGGGTGAACTTTGGAAAGGAAAATAAAGTTTACAGTAGAACCGCCCATACTCCAAGATGACATATGCTTGTACTAATTTAGCAAGGAAGGCACTTTCAAACATCATTGTAGGAGATAGCAGTTTTGACTTTGCACAGATGTTCAACTTGTGATATATTATTCACAAGTGAAAGCATAACTTGACTCCAGGGCTTGTTTGACTGGTCTCCTACAGTTTCAAGTCAGGCTCTGTCTCGAGATTGAAGCTAAGTTTGCATTGTAACTGTGACACCAGTACAGCATAAAATCACAACTCATTGACATTATGGTGTGTTACAGACCAGGCCGGACCCCCTCAAAATATTGTAAGGAGGTAGCCTAAACCCTAGCCTTTCTTATTTTAAAGGTAAATGTAAAGTGCTGTGTTTCAGATGCAATTCGACTGGTCAAACTACTCGACATTAAGCAAAAACAATTTATTCAAAACACTATGGTTAAAATATAATAAAAGAAAGAAGAATTTAGAATGACTTAACTCTATCCGAAAACTTGATAGCATAATATAGATACAGTACCAATTTCTAATTAACCGTTCCAATATAGTAACATCCCATAAATACACCCCTTGGCACAAAGGCAAATTCAGAAAACAGATTTTTTCACAAACAATGCCCACAGTAGGAAGAGAAACCCCAGCTTTTAGCTGTAACTGAGAAAGGGGGCAAAATTAGCTTCTACTTCTTTAAGATTCCAGCAGCTTCTGCTGAATCTAGAAGTTTAAAAACCTCGAAAACCCGGTCTATGAGAGCTGACTACACCCAGCCAGGCTGCTTCTTTTGTTCCAACTTTAAAAAAAGACCCAAGGCCTCTCAAGCTGTTTACATTACCACAGACTGCTTTCCACTTCTCGTTCAATCTCTCTCTTAAATAAACGGGACAAAATATACCACTTAAAGCCATAGCGTTGTCATAGGTGTGAATACATCTTTAAAGTCATAAATGCAGAAAATCTGCTGAAGAAGGAGCTTTGACACAGCAAGTGATCTCTTCTATGATTTTTTTGAGTTGTTTGTCAATGCAGTTATTGTACTTTAAGAGGATTGTATTACAGATTAATGTTATGTTTTATTGCCATTTTCTGGAACTGAATTGTTAATTTTATAGTCCTCGAAATCCAAACAAAGCAATTTTGTCACAATCTCAATGCAAAATTTTATTTTGCCTTACTTCATTTACTCAGACTTCCTGTAGACTATTTCAAAATATTGGATATGTATATCATGCAGTTTTTGATGCTGCAATTTTGTTTTTTTGCAGAAGCTCAATTACTACTGTCTATATTGAGGTTCTTCCTCCAAACAACCAGAGTCCTCCAAGGTTTCCACAAATGCTGTACAACGTTGAAGTGAGTGAAGCTATGAGAACAGGGGCAACTTTACTGAATTTGAGGGTAAATATATGTTTCTAAGCTACTTATTTTTCTCTGTTGTTTGCCCCACTGTTTAAAACAATGAACGTTTTGTTGGATCATTTCGTACAGAGGGTTTGAAATTCATTGGATGCCGATGGCATAATTTTTTAACTCTATAAATGACACAAAACTGGGTAATTCTTCAGTATTGTGGTCAGATGGGATCTCACCAAACCAATCATTTTTGCTCCCAGATCACACATGGCTATTTAAACAGCAGTTGAAAATAACAGAAGGGTAGCAATTGATAACCTTTATACCGATGATTCAATATCAGTGTTAACTTAGCAAAAGATGTCAGAAAAGGAAACAGTATAATTATATTCCAGTCTTAGAGGTCATGCCATTACGACCCATGTATGCCTTGATAAGTACAGGTTCTTGATCTATATTGTACACTTCTGTTCTTTCTGCAGCTGCCTTTAAATGAGATGCAGTGAACTTGCTCCAAATTCATCATGGGTCATTATGGCTAGGTTGAATATATCCTCTGCTGGATCTTTTAGCTGTGGCTATTAGTCAGCTGGGAAAGGTGGTTTAGTCATTTCTCAAATGTGCCCTCATCAAATGTTTGCTTTTTACAAGAAAGAATGATCATAAATGAATGTAGTTTTCACAGACTAACAAGGCTCTGCCTCTGTCATTGTTTCTTTTCAGAAGATCAATTGAAGTTAATGATTTTAATGCTGAACAAAATCTAAGCAAGAAATTACCCATGTTTTGTGGGTATAATGGTGGCAAAACTGCCACTGTTCAATTTTGTCATCATTGTTAAAGGCATTCGCTGTCATCAGAAATGTGAAACTGACAGCACCTTCTGGCTTTCACAATTTACTGCCAGTGATCTTCAGTTCCTCTAATGGTTGTGCATTCAAACTACCCACATAGCAATCTTTATGAATTAGTTGAACTGACATGAAACTTCCCTTTTACAGCATAGTACCTGCTACTTTAAAAAAAACCCTGAAAAGGTGATACCTTGTAGAATGAGGTGTAACAAGGTTTTCAGTGGTGTCCAACAACACAACTGTTTATTTTTATTCTTCCACGGGATGGGAATGTCACTCACAAGACCAACATTTGTTACCAATCTTTAATTGCTCCCCAGCCTTGAAAACTGATTTTATGCTTTGTAGAACATTGTCAAACATCTACAGGATGACATATTCCTTTGATTTAAAAATAATAAGTTGAATTGTTTCATAATTTATTGATAATTCAGCTTCTATCTTGTTCCTTTGTGTGCCATAATTTTTCTCTTGTAAATTCTATAAAATGTATAATGATAATGCCTTTAACCTTCTAGTTGTTGTCTTTGCAAATTCTTCAATGTGATTAGCTGTTCAATTGAATGACGGCATCACTTTTATTGGGATCTTGTTGACCTGTCATCTGAATCAAGTTAAAATTATGAAATAGGAAATCCATGTGACAGTGTCTGCTATATTTTTGTGTCTACTTTCTTTGGGGTTAGCAGGAAGAACTGTAACTTATTTGCTAACTGCAAAATTCAACCTGTTTTAACGCAGAGCAGTTTTGCTGTATTAACACTTCAGCTATGTGTAAATTCTGATCCCTAGTACACTTGCATCCTGTACTTCTCTTAGTATATGTCAAGATCACATTAATATTTAACTTAGACACAAGTATTTGTTTAAGGTCACTGGTTTCATAAAGAAGGTTAGATGGGAACCAGCAACGTAGGGAGCTATGATCAACGAATGTATATTTTAAAATGGTACAAATGTAAGTTTTTTTGTGTCTTTATGTCTTTTATTATTTGCTTACTTAATTTCTCCTTTGAGTTTTAAGAGTCTGTAGGAGTTTTTTTGGGAATTATGACATGGGAGACTAGTTGAACATTCTTGGTTAATGGCTTGTACCTTTGGTGAAGTTAATTTGACTTTTTCATTGCTACTGACCTACGTAACTGCCAAGCCATTGTTTTCTTTGTCTTTTTCATATATCATATGATAACAATATTATTAAGTGGGTTGGTGGTGTGATCTCTCATAGAGAACGTTATCTTAAAGTGGCTACAATTGTATTTGTACACTTCATTGTTTTAGAGAACCTTATTTAAAAATATTGCTTGATGACAGTTATGACACAACTTGGATAATCTTGAAGAACTTTTGGAAATTCACTTATTAGTTCATTTATTTTTGTAAGTCCAGAATTTCTAAATATTACAAAAAAATACACCAATTGAGGCAATCAAAAAAATATGCCTTCGATTTTAATTTGCATTTCTTCACTGAACTGCAGCATTTAATAATGTGTACAGCAGACTGGTATGAGGTGTGAATATTTGCAGGAAAGCTTGGATGACCAGCTGTGCTGATGATCACAACAAACCATGCATAATGTTGGTCAGTCTCAAAAATAACTTTCATGTTGTAGGCACAGAGAAGCTATCTATTGTACACAGGTTTTCAACAGCTTTAAGGTCAAACGGCTCAGAAATGCTGGTAGTTGGACTCAAGTAGAGGGAAAATGAGAAAAGTTGAGTAGAGGACAGATGGGAGGAAGGGATATGGAGAGAGGGAGAACAGTGGGACGGAGGAATTGAAATGTAAGGATGCAGAGCGGTGATCAAAATTCTGATTGGTCATCTGACCTGCCACTCACCTTTGTACAATTATAATTATTTCCTTAAGTTTGATGTTCTTCTTAACTATGTTAGTTAACCACAGATGTTTGCACCTCCTTTTGGAATTTTTATTTTACAGTAGGAATGTACTTATTGTGAAATATCCCTTTAACTGTCTGCCTCTGCTTCTCTACTAACCTATTTCCAAGCTTAAGATCCCAGTTCACTTCAGCTAGCTCAGCTTTCATGCCTATATAGTTGCCCGTATTTAAAATGAAATATTAACCTTAGACACGCTCTTCTCCCTTTTAAGCTGGATGCCAATCATATTGTGATTGTTACTATCCAGAAGTAGCTTTGCTCCAAGGACATGAATTAATACCATGATGTTACACAGTACAAGTCCAGTGTAGCCTGTTGTCTGGTTGGTTCCAGAAGATGCTGCTCTAAGAAATTATTTTCATAGCATACCACAAAGTCCTTATTTAGGCTACTATTATTGATGCAAGTTCTCTGGTTCGTATGTAAGTTAAAATCACCCATAATTATTGTCGTCCCTTTATCTGAAGCACCCAATATTTCCTTATGTATACTTCATCCTATATTGTGGTTACTGTTCGGGAGCCTGTGGATCACTACCCTAATGATTTCTTTCCACTCCTATTGCTTATCTCCTGCCAAACTGATTCTACATCCTGATCTCCTGAAGCAAAGTCATCTCTAAATATTGTACCTATACTATCTTTGATTAGGAGTGCTACCTACCTACTTAGCACTCCTGAATGTCATGTATCCCTTTGTATTCAGACCCAAATCCTTGTGATCCTGCAGTTACACCAAGAGAGAGAGCATGAGAGGCAGAGATAATAGGATGTGATGGCTATCAGATTATAATTATTCACCTCAATGTGCACAATCAATTCACTTACTTTGTTTACTTTGGTGCATTCAGGCACAGAGCCTTTGTTTTTTGGTTACCTTTGGAGCATCAGGATTTTTTTCTCTCTGTCACTTCCTGCCATTCTCCCACCTTCACTTCCCACATTATCTGATGTTCATCCCTCAACTTTATCCCTTATTACATTTACCCAAGCTCTATCCATCACCTTCTGTTTAGTTTATAATCTTCTCTACAGCACTAATTATGTGGCTTGTGAGAACAAGCCCCAGCATAGCTCAGGTGCAGACTGTTATCATATTTTATGTTCTGAAGGAATGCCTAGGACTGAAGGGAATGAGGGAACAGGTGACGGATGTATTACAAAGAGTTGATTAGTTTGAATTAGTTGTACAAATATGAGTTACGAGAGTTCTTGTGGTGCAGTGGTAGTGTTCCTACCTCTGGTCTCGAGGGCCTGATTTCAAGTCCCATTTGCTCCTGAGATGAGTCATAACATATCTGAGCAGGTTGATTAGAAAATATTTATAAATACAGGAAGCTTGGAATCAATGGAGTGTGAGTTTTATAGAGTGTGGCTAAACTGAAATAAGCCTCTCACATAAAAATGTGAACTTGAATTCTGTTTGAATATCTTCAGAGTGTAACATAGACTATTCCTACTTTTCCTACTACTGGTGTCAGTGGTTCATGAACTGGAAGCTTTATCTCCCACGTCAAACTCTGAGCCTCACCTTTGCTTCTCTCGTTTCATGTGGCATGTGGCTCAAATCGTACTCCAGAGATTATTACCTTTGAGGTTCTGTTTACTAACTTAGCATCTAAATTCTCGTACTCCATTTATAGAACCACTTTCCTGGATGTACTTAGGTCATTGGTACCGACGTGGACCGTGACCACTGGATTCTCCCCTTCCCACTGGAAGTTCCACTCCAGCCCAGAGTCGTAGTAATGGACTGTGGCACTAGGCAGACAACATGCAGTCTGGACACTCACTGTTTGCTGCAGAGAACAATGCCAATTGCCCTCACTACACTGTCCCTTACTAACACTACATTCTTGTTTTCTGTAGCATGGTGCCAGAACCAGCTAGTTTGTCCACCCTGCAACACTCCCTCTCTTCCAAACAAGCTGAAAAAACCTCAAACCTGTTGTACAATTGCAAATGCGGAGGCACTTGAGCTCCTGCCCTCTAAGCCGCCTTACTTACTTCACTTATAGTCACACCTATTTGTCCCTGACCGCTAACCAAATCAGAAGACCCTGTTCTAAGGGGTGTGACCGTCTTCTGGAATAAAGTGTCCAGGGAACTTACCCCTTCTCTGATGTGCCACAAAGTCTGCTGTTTGGGCCTCACTTCAATAAATTGAAGTTTCTGCAGCCTCAAACACTTACGGAATATTATGTTTGTCCTGGATTGCACCAGCATCCAGGAGCGCCCATATTCTGTAAATGCAGCACTTCCCCTGTCCACCTACCTCTAATTTG